TAAAAAAAAAAAAAAATGTTGGGTACTCATTCAATGTATTTTCAATCTGGGGCATGCACTAAATACAGAAAATACAGATGAAGGATTTTAAAGGACATGATGTAGGAGACCATTGTTTGAAACGCCAAATTTCCAAAGGAAACCCTCCGCAAAATAATAATAATAATATAATAATAAATAATAAAAATAATAATAATCAAAGTCTCAAATAGGAATATTTTTTTGAATCCTTATTGTCGTTGGTTCATTATTTCTGCTTTTTATTTTTTTTATTTTTTTTATTTCATGCTTCATTACGGTACAAATAAATTATGGTACGCATCACGTGATCAACGCTCGACAACTTTAAAAAAAGTAACAAACAAAAATCATTTCTTCGCAGCAATAATAAACAAAATTCAAAAAAGTCAGTTGTCTCATATCACAACATTATTTGTTTAAATACAAATAACTCCCTGCAGTTTCCATCTTCGAAGAAATCATCTATTTTGTATCAACCTAGTCGTATTTTCCTCTGATCAAACATTACATTACATTACACGCACGAGTCAAACAAGTTTCATTGAAACATATGATAAATTTCTCATTTGATCAATTGTAATGTACCAAGGGTTTTGTATTATGCTTCATTATTCCTGCAATTTCCTCGTCGGGATTTTCTTTTTCAAAAATAGGTGATTGACATAGCACGCGCTTAAGAAATAAATTAAAATAAATTGGTTTTTTCTCTCAATCCTTTCTTTTTAATTCTCTGCTTAATTGCATGCATTAATATTGACTGTTTTTCACTTTTCTTGATGCATGTACTGTAATTTAGTTATCAACAATATTATTATGATGTCTTTCTTTTTTTGCCATTGTTATTTCTCGATCTGCAAAAGGCTGTAAATTGTCAATCAACCCCTCCCTTAAATTATTATTAATTCATTGCTCGGTCTCTGACAGCTTGATATTTGATATTCAAATTTGTCCTAATAAAGTTTTCTTATAACTTTTTCAAAATGTTGTCGGTTGCGTATTTGACTTTGCTCTTTTCTTTGCTCTTTTATTATTTGGTGTTCTCTACCGGTGTTCCGACCTTATCTTTCTATATAATAAATTTACCATGTCATCAAACAAAAAAAAACATTTATTAAAAATTATAAATTTCATTTACTTCACGAGATGATTCAGTTCTGCAAAATAATTCCCGCATGCTTTAATCCGGTGACATTGAAACAATTGGTTTTTCTTGGAAATTTCCCATTAACATTGATTAACATTGATTAACATTGGAAACTTTCATGCCAATAATGATGCTGTCATTTAATTTACATTGTTTCTATCAATACTTTAATCAATACTTTAATCAATATTTTAATCAGTACTTTAATCAATATTTTAATCAGTACTTTAATCAGTACTTTAATCAGTTAATCAGTATTTTAATCAGTACTTTAATCAGTAATCAATACTTTAATCAATTGGTTTAATATTATTAGTTCGGTTAATATGTCATCTAAAAAGTCTCATGATACATTTTCTTTTCGCTATAAAATTGTCTTAGGCTTATAAACCTTTTAAGTTTATACGATAAAAATGTTTCAATGTTCCGATGAGCAAATTTGTTCTTATACTCCCTTACGTACGATAGGTCGTGGAACATTTGGCAGATGTGTCCTTGTACGCTCTAAAACTGACATGTCACGGTTATATGTCATAAAAGAAATTGACCTTTCTAAACTTAAAAACCCAAAGAATCGTATAGAAGCAAGACGTGAAGTTGAATTGTTAAAACAATTAAATTGGCCTGGAATTGTCAAATTTGTCGAAAGTTGGGAAGATCATAATGGTCTCATTACTAATAAATCTAATAAATCTAATAAATCCACCGATTTTATCAATTCTTTACAATACTCGATCTCTCAATATAGTAACCGACCAGAAAGGAAACTTGTCCTCCCGCAAGAATACCGGGTCTTAAATATTGTAACCGAATACATGGACGGTGGTAAGTGTCATATTTCGTAATTATGCTTTGCTTTATTCACGTATTGTCAGTCAAGTAATATATTACCCAATGTTTATGATTTTCCAAATATATTCCATATGTGCACGCGTGGTTGTCGATCCGTTTCACTATTTTTCCGCGACTGGATTTTTCAAATAACCCACGCGATTTTCGTTCATTTGTACAACTATATATGAAACAGGGGACCTTTATGCGATCATTCAAAACCAACGGAGAATTGGTATTCTCTTTAAGGAAGATCGAATACTGGATTGGTTTGTTCAATTATGTTTGGCCATAAAGTATATTCATGATCATCGAATTTTACATAGAGGTGATGTCAATTTTAAGACTTGTATGACAATCGAAATTAACGCCATTTATTACCTTTTTTAATTTTTACTTTTCTCATTTTGGCTTAAAAAAAAACTAGATATTAAAACAAAATATATCTTTCTTAGTAAAGATCGTTCAATTGTTAAGCTCGGTGACTTTGGAATTGCAAAAAAATTGAAGCATGGATCTGATTTTGCAAATACAGCGATTGGTATATCATTCGTTTTCTTTTCTCATAGTTTTTCTTAATTTTCGTAATCATCGTAGTCATTGCAATCATCGTGATCCTCTTCTTTCTATTCATCGTCATTTTTTAACTCATTAATTCAGGGACCCCTTTTTATCTCAGTCCTGAAATTTGTGACAACAAGTCATATCCTTTTTTTCACTCATCATTATATTACCGATTATATTAGCCGATTCATGAATGATTTTTATTCTTAATTCAATAATTTTATTTTTTTTTTGCATAAACATATAATAAAATGTCTGACGTTTGGGCATTGGGATGCGTCCTCATAATTATCATAAATTTTACTATTTTTTATATTACTGTTTGTTATTTCTAATTTGTTTCGTCACTATTTTTAGTACGAAATGACAGCATTACGTCACGCATTTGAATCAAAGAGTACAACAGGACTGTTTCTTAAAATTTCAAAAGGAACATATCCACCTATTCCAAGGTATTAACGCACGTGCTTGTGACATCAAGTAAAATGAACCTTTTTTTCATGTACAACCGTCATGTCACATAAAATCTTTAAAAGGATAAAAAAAAAAAAACAAAAAAAAACATTAAAAAAATATATATATTTAAAATTTTATTTATAGTCTCTACTCTAAAAATCTCAGAAAACTTGTCTCATCATTACTGAAAATATCTCCAGATGATCGACCTTCTATTGAGGATATTCTTAAATCAAACTTTTTGAATAATCACATAGAACGCGTCACGAAAAAGCTGGGGGTAACTCTCACATGCCAGGGTACTTCGCAAAAGAGTAGATTAGAAGGTCCACCAAAATTCAGCAAATCGGCCCGAATTTGGGTCGGAATAGGCCGGAATTAATAAATTTTTTCTAAAATCAC